TGATGCTCTTTTGAAAAGAACCCCCCGCCCCACCTCCCAGCCTCACCCCAAGACACACGGTGTGGGCCTAGTTTCTTGCTCAGTTAGTATGCTTGCTAAAAATTATGCATTGAATAACTGGTATTGTGCTAGGTGTTTGATAAATATTTATTTTTATCCTTAACAACCATTAGAAATAAAAATTGTTACTGTTCAAAAATGATACAATTGTAGCTTAGAGGAGTTAAATTACTTGTCCAAAATCCAATGGTTAATGAATGAATGAGCCTAGATTCAAACCTAAGGCTGCGGGGCTTCAAATTTGATGTTTTCTTTTTTTAATATTATATCATTTTGCCCCTTACTGCACCATTTGATCATTAGAGTTAGAGCTGTGGTTCTTGTTTCCTAAGCTGAAAAGTCACAACTCTCTCTGGATCCTGTTAGGAATCTGACCAGAATTTCTCTAGCCCAAATCGGCCTCTTCTCCCTCTCAAAATCACCAAAGTGTATTTTACTCCTATTTAGCACCTCTGAAGATTGACTTTATAATTAGGCGGGAGTTGCCCTCTCTCTAGATTGAGAACATTAATAATAACAATAATATTAATGGATGGCATTGACTTAAAATCTCCTAAGTGCTGGATGTCGCACTATGCACTTTACCTGCATCCTCTCATTCAGTTCTTAGAACGCTCTTTGGTGGGCACGATTACTATTCTTTTTATTGGGCAGATGCCTCATATAGTTTAGGAGATCCTAACAGTTTTCCCAAAAGCACACAGCTAAGACTTAGGATTCAAGCCCAGGTCTTCCTAACTCCAAGAATCAAGCTCTCAACTGCTGTCTCCTCACCAGGGATGCTGTCTTAATCATCTATGAATCATCTGCTCAGGGGCTAGCATCATGCTCAGGAAATGTTTATCAAATTGGACGCTTGCTGGATACAGTGTGACCCAGAATCTTGAGTGTGATAGCCACTGGGGCAGTTGGGCTAACAGCTGGTGCTGGAAGACACATAGTGTTCAATGCTCCCCGTGGCTTTGGGAGGAACCTGAGACTGGAATGGGATCCGCGTGGACGGGGTGCCATGCGGACTGAAAGTCCTATGCTGACAGCCAGCACACCGCCACAGATGAGTAGAGATTCAGGCTTCACAATAACAGTTAGTACATGGCAGAATCGAACACTCCCATGTGGCATATTTTAGTTAATATCTTTTTATGGTGGTTTGTCTATTTTAATTAAAAAAAAATCTTTTTGGATTTGTTAGCTAGAGCCAGCAGGCACCAGGGCCTAAGCCTGTCAACACAAAGCAGAGGGTCCACTTGCCAGGCCCATTTTCTCTCTAGGGTTGGGCCACTGGCAAAACCACTTGGAGAGATGAGAGCTTTGCCATTGGCCCACTCGGTGAAGTTGCCAGCAGATGGCCTAAAGCATTTAAATGCCTGCCTGATGCAGTGGAGACTACATTTCTGAATAAAGATGTTCAACATTTTATTGGTCTGGGCTTCAGTTATCTTACATTGTAATGGGAGAAAAGCGAGAACCTTTAATTTTCCATTGGTGACTGTCATTATGCAGCCCTCTCTGATGCTCGTTGGAGAGAAACTGGTTCCAATGATCCCTGGAGCAGTCTGGGGCCTCTGTCATGAATAAAACATGCCATGTAATTGCAGTGACACGGATAACACACCCATATATATGTAGAATCAATGCTTATTATCCCATCCATTAAGACAGAAAATTAAATAAGATTTTAGGCTTTCTTCCACCACTCGCTAAGAGGTACTGGAATCTCTTTGGTTAATCCATGGGTTCTTAATTTAGGATTTTAATGCCCACAGAGAGAAGAATTCAGGCAAGAACGCTCAGCTCAGCTTAAAGAAGTTTGACTGTAAAACTGAAGGAACTGTTCACCCTGACAAGGAAATGCTCGCTTGCGTTTTCCTGAAATGGCAGCTTATGTGGGGGGAGGGCTTGCTTTCAAAGTCATCTGAAGGGGTTTAATACATGCATTCAAAGTTTTAATGTTTTTTAAAAAATAAATGACACTTACATGGTTTACAAACCAAACACATAACGAGGTCGATGGTGAAAAATTCCCTTCCTATTCCTGTGCCCCATCTGCCCTGCTCTGTTCTTCCCCCAGTTATAATCGCCTTAGCCTGAAGCAGTTATAAAATCTGAATTTTCTTTTCTCCCGAGGAACTTCCATGCCTGGTTTTCATGCAGAATCAAGATACTTTTAAGTCCTTTCGGGGATAAGGCACAGCTTAAATGAAGACAGAAATTCATAACTATAAAGCCAGGTATCCAGTGGAGACATCCTGGGGCGACGGTTCCCCTCTGTCCCCTGTACCTGCTGCCTGATTTCTATGGAGCCGTTTTCTGTGTTTCTGAGGGTGGGAGAAGTAGCTCTGCTCAGCTCCATAACTGGACGTGTTTTGAGCCTTTGCTATTGTCCTGTGGAGTTCTGGGCTGTCCCCTCTCCTGGCCCGATGATTAGTCCTTTCCTAGCTGCTCTGTTACAAGTCCATTTGTATCTAGTCCTGCCTTCCTCCAGGGAACCAGAGTGCTCAGCTTTCACTCAGACCTTTATTTTTCTCAATTTGTGTCTCCTGCACATGACTTTTCAAACCCAGTGGAAGTTTTTTCTTCGCTGGTGTCAGAGTTTGAGACTAATCTGCACTGAAGAAGTAAAATACAATATGCTATAAATTTCTATCGGTGCTTCTGTGTTGAAGAGAATGTGATTTAACCTGGACAGATTTGGATTCCCAGAATACCAGCGAGATTTTTTTTTTTTTACAGCTTTTGTTTTACTCTATTTTGGACCACATTTCCACCAGAGTGTGCATATGGGCTTTCAAAAAAATATTGTGTTGATGAAATTGTCCTTTTAAAACTCAGAACAGCTGGCAATATGTCTTCCCTGTGGAATGTTTGAAATTGGAAAGATACAAATAAAGATAACCAAGTTGTAAACAGAAATATCCAGTCTTGAGCCCAACAGAGATATTAATATACCAAAGAATCTATATGGGGGGGTTCTAATTTCCCTAACAAAAAAAATATGTTCTTCTGAGAGCTGACTTAGAAAAGAAGGCATCCATAAGTTTCCTTGAACTCCCCAGCACTTGACATAATGATAAATTGTTACATTGCACATCTGCCTGGGCAAATCCTACTACCTTTTATTGGCTTTTCCGCTTTCCCTGTGTCATTCTCCCCACTCCCTCGCTCCTGCCTTCTGGGATTACCTCCCAAACAAATCGCCTGCACCCAGCCCTTGTCTTAGGTCCTGCTTTCAGGGGAAGGCAAACTGGGAGAGTGCCTACTGGTACCAGAAGCTGTTCTAATTCCTTTACAAGGCCGCATGGCTTAGCTTACCCTGATAGCAGTCGTGCGAGGCAGATATATATGACTGCTGTCCTCATTGTAGAGATAGGGCAACTGAATGAATGAGAAATTATCTCGCCAAGGGCATCTGTTGACCTGTGCACATTCCCCAGTGGTGGAAGGTGGTACCTGGGGTGTTATCGCTCACTCCTTTCCAGGCTGCCCTTGGCTGGAGGCTGTGGCTTCAGCAGAGTCCCAGAGTTTTGGAGAACGCATTGAGGAAGAAAAAGGGGAGTCAAGTCCATGGCTGGCAGTACAGTGGTTCTCAACCAGACAGTCTGACCTCAGAGCCTGCCCTTCTGATGGGTATGCTTTTCCTCCCTACAAACAAAGGGTCAGGAAGGCGAGGGCACACCCCGAAACACAACTGGTGTGCAGTGAAGCTGGGATTCCAAATCAGGTCTATTGGACACATAGACCCAGGCTCATCTGCTACACCTACTACTCCATTGTTGTTGTTGTTGTTGTTAAAGATCAGATATACTGATCTTTTCTTGAAACCAGAAGGGATAAATCAGCAAAATCCCCATTGGATGCCAGCAGCTCTTTATGGCGAATGTGCAGTGGACTGTGGAAGCGTGTCTGTATCTCTCAACCAGGGCAAGTAGTGTTTTCCACTTATCAGGGCCCCAAATGTACTTTGGGACTGCGAAGGCTGGTAAAAACCCCTGCTGGTTATGAGGATGTCTCTGCTTTGGAGAGTCCAAGGCAGTTTACGGAAGCTGGGGCCGCTCTCCCCTTGGGCAGTGCTGAAGGAAGCAGTCAAATTCGGCCACCACCCCAGGAAAAAAGGGGGAGGTGGGAGGAGGGAGGAGAATTCATGCCATTTCCCCTCCTCCCACTGCCAGCTCACTGCCCAGTAGATGTCAGGAATTAAGGTTTATTTTTTCAGCCTTAAAATTTCCTTCTCTTTTGTCCTCCTCTAATCCACTCTCTACCCTGCAGCTACTGAGATCCTTTCAAAATGCTAATCTCATCATGTCCCTCCTCTGCTTAAAAACCCTTCAACACTTTTCCTTGGCTTCTTTGAGATAAAGACAGAATTCCTGATTAGGCCTCTGGGCAAGTTTCACCCAAGCCCCCACCAGCAGCCACAGTTCCTGCAAAGCCGGCCTTGCTCCCTGCACTCCAGCGACCCTACATATCCACTCTGGCGACCCTACATATCCACGCTGCCTTCCACCATCAGAGAGCCCTCCAGGCTGTTCTCTGCCTGGGACATGCTTCCCTCCCACCCTGTCCACGCTAAGCCCGGGGTGGTCTTCAGGTCTGAAGCTCCTTGACTTCTTCCTAACTAGATCTCTGTGATAGATGTTCTTGTGGAATTCTGTGCCTCTCTTTCTTGTGCACAGCATCATTGGGTGGGATTACTTTAATGTCTGTCTCCCCCAGTAGAGTGTACGCTTCTCGTCCAACATAGGGCCTGTGTTTGTTTTGCTCACTGTCATATCCCGATGGCATGCACGGTGGTAGATGCATAGGAAGTCCTAGGATGGTGGAATGAAGGAGTGAACACTGGGCTCATGCAACAAGGATATTGTGAGAGATTGGAGACAATACATTTAACCCTTGTCCTTCCGTTGTTATAAGCATCCAGGTTCTACGGCTGCAGTTGTCCATTGTTCAGCCAGCATTGTACGCAATAACTTTATTTAGGTCAAATAGATATCACAATACAGATTTATCCAACAAGATCCAGAAATTGGTTACAGATATCATCTAAGACACAAGGCTGTTTTGTGCTAAAATGCTTCCAACATCACCAGTCACACAAAGAGTGTATACATTGATAACAACTTTTATCTAGAAATACAGATGCTTAGCTTGTCCTCTTCGCTGGGCCCTGCTATTTCAGTTGAGTTAAAACAAAGAGGCGAAGATCGGCATTTTCTTGACAGTGAATACATTCCGGGGAACATTTCATGAGAAACTTCTTTGGGATACAGAGTGGCACTTGGGAGCCATTTTTAATTCATGGGTTACACTCAAATCAGAATTAGTAATCAGTAAGTTTAGCTGTGACTTGAGAATTTTCAATAATTAGATTGAGGAACATATTAGCTTTACAAAAAAAATAGGATTTAAAGGTTTAGCTGCTAGTATAAATATTAGCTACAGAATATCCTTTGTAAATTAATACTTTAGCATGGCAGCATCTTGACTGTGGTGTCTATATCTGCATCTCTATTATGCTAAGAAAACACTCCATAAACACAAACAGTTATTGGGCCATATTATTTATGGTCCACAAGATAAGAGCCACAAAACACTATAGAAGGTTACAAGAATGTAAATGTTTAGCTAAGTAAACAGAATAAATATTGGGAAGTTCCCATATGTAATACTAAATGTCTACTAATGGGTGATAAAAACCCAAATCTTGGTTACAATGCATTCAGAACTTGAGTAAAGCCAGAGAGACAAATTTGCAAAATATACAAAGTAGTGAATATATTACTTTAAATGTCTGTTTAACAGATTCATGGTGCAAACTGGAAAATTTTCATAAATGCAGTTCAAATGTTCATTGTGTGAGAAAATGCTTATTCATGCACTAAATCATATGAGCATTGATTCATCAAGTAAAAAAAAAAATACAGAGTAATTGTCTGAAGCAAATACTTAGAGACTCACAGTTCCACAGGGCCTAAAACTAAAAAAATAATAAGACATGCATGTTGTGATACACCAAATTGTCTTCTAGAAATCATTATAACATCTTTTGCATCAAAATGCATAGGAAAACTCAATGCTATTTAACACACTTTATGCATATTACATACTAGAGACATTAAGCTACAAAATGTTTCTACTATCTCAACACACATACAAAACGACCATAAAAGTATCTGTATATATAACAAGGTACTCTCCAATTAGCTATCTATGATGAATAATATATTTTCTCATGTCATCTCATGTCTTAAGTATCATTTATCACAACCCAGGCCTTTCTGCCTTAATGAGGGCTACAGATCTCTGATTTACATTCAATACTCTCTGCATTAATAATTCATTGAAACTCTTAAAAAATTCTTCTGCCACTGAAACGGGAGGTGGTGAGGCTATCTCCAGAAGAATGCAAATGCTACTCTGTTAAATCTGATTGGTAAAGGAAGTGGGGCCACTGGGCTGTTGGCCAAACTCATCTGAGGATGGCCCCAAACTCACCTGCTGGCCATACCCACTGCTGGACCCATAGCTGTCTTGGTTGTAACCGCCTTGAGTATAGCTGCTAGAGTGCTTCTCCATTGGGTCCGAAAGATATCTCTGTCCCGAGGAGTGCCAGCCGGTCTCCTTGAAAACAAACCATATGTTTCCAGCCCAGAGAATAAAGTTCAAGAATCCAAAGACCTGAAGGAGAATGAAAGCCAATGAATTGATAGACTAGACAAAAACCCAAGAAAACTATCAATCTCAGAAAAACCCTTCACCATACAAAAGATCACTTTTCACTTTAATATTGACTCCTGTTCCAAGTTTTCATTTGGGACCACTGTTTCATTTACAATAGCTCACCTTATTGGAGGCACTACATGTCAGGCACTGCATAACTGGCTTTATGTGCATTGGTTCACTTGGTCTAAGAATCAAAGAAATGGTGCCATTACTATATCCATATTAAACATGTGGAAATCTTGTCCAAGGTCATATGGCCGGGTGAGTACAGATCTGAGATTCAAGCCCTGTCATGAATCCATAGCCTGAACCCTTACTTTAGTCACCCTTATCTCCCTCAACGAGGGAGGTATCTGTCATGGTGTGTAAGATTATTTTCAGGTGGCAGAGGGTTGAGTATTTTCATTTTAATAATAGTGCATTAATTTACAAAGTTACTTTCTTTTTCTGGCTAGGGATACTATTTTTCCATTTCTTGTAATAATATATTGAAAATGAGTCAATTTAAAGAAAAAAATGATTAAGCAATGGTACAGGTGGTCTAAAGACAAGCACAAGCATGGTAGCATACATAGGAGTTGACTCTTCAAATAGTTGCCCTTTCTGTGCCTCTACACTCAGAAGTGGACGCTAAAACTGGACTACGCTCTGGGAGGCCGAGGCGGGAGGACTGCTCGAGGTCAGGAGTTCGAGACCAGCCTGACCAAGAGCGAGACCCTGTTCTCTACTATAAATAGAAAGAAACTAGCCAAACAACTAAAAATAGAAAAAATGAGCCGGGCATGGTGGTGCACGCCTGTAGTCCCAGCTACTTGGGAGGCTGAGGCAGGAGGATCGCTTGAGCCCAGGAGTTGGAGGTTGCTGTGAGGTAGGCTGATGCCACGGCACTCTAGCCCAGGCAACAGAGTGAGCCTCTGTCTCGAAAAGAAAAATAAATAAATAAAACTGGACTATGAATAAAGCGCAGGTTTCTGAGAGGTATGAACTGTTTCCCCAAGAACTGTACACGAGACTCGCCTGTGGAAATCCCTCTTAGTCTTCAGAAAGGTGTCAGAGGACTGGGGGCCGCTCCCCCAGGGCCTCAGTGTTTGATGGAAACACGGCTACTTGCTGTTGCAAGAGGCCCAGACAGAAATACTCATCGCATGGCTTATTCTGCTGCCTTTCCCAAGGCTGGTTGGTTGACTTGAGAGTGAACCACAGCTAGCCTCTTTCAGCAGCCCCCTGTTGGAGACAGATTACAGGGTAGGATGCAAAGCTGTGATGACATTACAGCGTATTTCGTCATCAGTCCAGCAGGACTCTGACCAATCAAAGTGGACTTGGGCAGTGGCCACAGCTCTGGAAGATGGTGCTAGAAATCCCTTGCTGGGTCAAAATGTATTCCTTGGTTCCTGGATGGTGGATGTGCAGCCTTCAGGGCTTAAAGCAGGAGCAATTTACCAAAGTATTTCAATATTTTAGGAACACAATAACTGAATGTCAGTCTTGGAGTAATGTCTATGGGCTTCGGAATCAGAGTGGCCTGGGAAAAGTACTTTCTTGCTCTATGACCTGGGACAAGGCATTTACTCTAAATGAAATAGTCTAGAGTTCAGTTTGTTTTGTTTTTCTTTTCTTCTTCCTTGCTGGTCTTGAACTCCTGGGCTCAAGTAATGTTCCTGTCTTGGCCTCCCAAAGTGCTGGGATTACAGGTGTGAGTCACTGCACCCGGCCTCAGTTTTTGTTTTTCTTGTATGCAACAAAGACAAGAATTCCTTCCTTGGGGGATAGTTGGGAGGATTAAAGAGGACATATGTAAAGTAGCCAGTGCCGGATGCATTAGCAAATACTAAATGGTAAACTATGTTCTGACTCACTTTCTAAAACATTTCTGCTAATTGTATTTTGTTAACTCTTAAATGCAGCATAAATTGAAATGGGGCTTTGACATCAAGGCCATAGTCTTGAGAGGTGACCATAGCCAAAACTGGGTAACTAGTCCCCTGACTGATCTAATTAAAGACTGGTTTGTCCAGACCTAGGTCCCTCTCTCCCTTCTTTCTTCCTTCTCTATTATCGTATCCTCTTTTCTTTATTTAATGTTAATCATGAGTCTATTTTGTGCTATGCTCTAGGCTACCTGCCGAGGGAGGCACATGGCATAAATAAGGCATAATAGTGACTTGATCGAAATGAATTAGATAATCGCTCACAAAACTCTAATTTACATATAGGACCTTTTAATCATGTGCACGTTGATTAGGACATTTTCCATTAAAGGGGAGATTTTGATTAAATCCCACCTGTGTAAGTGTATGTCAATATACGAGTAGAAAAATTACCAAGGGATCTTTTTAGATATAGCCCAGGGATGTAATTTTGTCTGTTTCCTATCTCTTGGTGTCTCTCTTTTCCCTGTTACTACTTGGTTTTCAACAGAGGGATGCTGAAGAAGGACCTAGAAATCAGGGAAAAGCATCTTAAAAGTAAGGGCATAAGCAAGGCGTTCCCATGGGCACATTTAAGATGACTGGTTTCTTACTCCATTGTCACAGAGGGGTCCCAGATCTCTTGGTTGGCACATTTTAGGGGCTCTTGGGCCCTTGGATCTGCCATTTTGTTGCAACTGAAATTAGGGCAGGGACTTTGATTCAAGCTCCGATGTGGAGACAAGAGACAGAGAGATTCAAAGACGCTGTACATAGCATGAAAAAGAATGGGGAGATGGAATCTAGATTATCCGAACAGATGTATCAAGGGTGTCTAGAATGAAGCTGGAGAGGCAGAAGTAGAGATTATGAATAAAATAATTATGCTCAGTGAACCTTTGGAAGAAATCGAGAGACTTAATAATATTATTCCTCCCCCCCTCTTTAGGTTCTACCACGGCGTGCATGCATTCAGTAACTGCTTCCAGTTGACAGTTATTGAGCATTTGTCATAAACTGGGTCCACTGCTAAGTATTTTTCACGGATTACCTCAAAATTCGTTCAATAGTCTTGAGGTCTGTTGTACAATTATCCCCATTTTACACCCGATGAAACTACGGTGTAGCGATATTAGTTAATTTATCTGAGGAGAGTCAATTATTGAAGAGTGTAGCTAAGATTTGAACCCTAGCAACTTCAGAATTGTGCCCTTAACCGTTCTGAGTGGCAGCAGAGTTTGGTTCCAGTTCTGGCATTGCAGTAACTACTTGGGAAACTTCATGCAAGTCCTGAACCTGAGCTCCCTATATTTGTAGTATCTGGAGATCTCACCTGACTTTTAGTGTTATTGTGAAATTATAGATGCCAACTGCTTTGAAGAAAGTCAATTTGTTACCAAGGTAGAAAATATGATTATTATTTCCTGACCCACTTACTTGTAGAGGTCCTCTATTGTGATATGTCTGGCTCCTTTTCCAAAACCTACATTTGCCCAGTAGGGTGGGGTTCTATGAGTTAAGTTTGTGCTACGTGATTCTCCAAACCTCCATCACTGACTGATGAGACTCAGGTGGACATCTGGCCTACGGTGGGCTAACAAGATTCTCTCTACTAGAAATTTGGAATTGGACCTGAGTGATTTTAGTTCAGTCTAAGCTGTTTCTTTAAAAAGAAATATAAACTTAGAAACTGTTATTTGTGCGGACAAAAGAGATGAAATTCCATCTGAAAATAAAGAATAATATAACAGACATGCAGAAAGACACAGAGAGATGCAGAAAGAAGCAGAGATGAAAAATGAGGATGAGAACTGTCCGGTTTCCTGACAGTCTTCCAGTTCTTAGCCCTGGGCTCCGCCTTGGGAAGACACATTTTTAGTGTCTTTTCAGTTATTTTCAGTTTTGGCCTAAGCTAGCCAAATGATTTGAATCCAATCAAATATGTAATAAAATGTGTTTTGGCTGACGAATATCTTTTCCTCTGCTTTTGGTAATAGAAAGAAAGCTGATTTGCTTTGCAGAGCCAAGTTGCAGTCAAAGGGCTTGAGCTCTCTCCTGGAACTTTGCATCTTGGACAGAGTAATGCAAGGTTAGGAAAAACTTCCCACTGATGGCATTTGCGGATGCTATTTTTTGGTATCGATCATCTAGAACATCGGTTCTGCTCTAGATTATGCTCTTTCTAGAGGCTGTTTCTTTAGGTCTTATCAAGTTTGTGAGCTATTGGATATCCTTCCACGGACTTTTTTTTTTCCCTGATGAAGTCAGAGTTAGTTTCTGTTACTTGCAACCCAAATATTCTAATGCAGACAGACATTGGTACCAGAAATAAGGTGCAAAGAACAGACTTCAGGGATACAAGGCTTAGTTTGCTTTAGCCAGTCTGAATGGTGTTTTCTGTCACTAGGAACTAGAAGACTCTTAACTGATATGGACACATCACTATAACACCACTGGACCTGTCCATGCACTCACATCACATTATTTGGTTTCAATTCATTTTTCTTCTTGGTTTTAGGAAACACAGCACACTGTTTTTTATTATCTTTCATGATTCATAGGCCATATTCTAGTCTAAAAATTATTAGAGATATCAGGAGTAGAGTTAAAAAGACCGTGCAAGATGTCACAAGATATTGGGAGATTAATTATTAAACTAACAAACACATCAAGCAATTTTAGCTTTGTCCTCTTGGATTATTGAGATCAGTGTTACAATAAGTTTCATTAAACACTGCCTGTAAACAAACTACAGAAGTGTAACTATATATGAAAATGTAGCCATCTATAGGTGCGGCCAGTGATAGATAAAAATGATTGTGAGGCCCTAATACGTAGCTTATTTCCATGGTTACTATCTCACCAATGCAGGATTCACAGTCAAATCAGAGAAGCAATCCTTTTTCCCTTCTTAAGTGTCTCCCCAGATTGAATTTCAGAAAGCTGTAGAAATACAGGTTAATCTTGAAAGAAGGGGTTATTTTTAGGGTTTGCTAAAGAATGTTGTTCTTTCAGCAAACAGTGCTGAGCTTTCTATTCTTTGATAACTTCTGCTTTTTGCTGCCATTATAGCTTATGTCTTTCTCAGACACAGCTATGCTCTTTGGAATAACACAAGTTCTTACACTTATAAATTAAGAATCCAATTTAGCGTCCTTGCTAACTGTCAGATTTTTCTCCTCCCCTAAAAGCCATACACTTGATGATAATATTTGACTTTGTTCAATTAATACACTGTAGCTTTTCTGAGGTTATCCAGAAACTAAACTGGGAGCATGGAGGAAATTTAAAAATTACCATATCTATTATAAGTACTTTTTTACACCATGAATTTCTTTTTGTATCCCACTAGGTCTGCGTATTTTTCTCTAATCAACTGGGTGTATTCTAACTTCATGTGGCTTGAACAATGTTTCCTTCCCAGGAATTTGTATGCCATTAATTATTCCTTTTAACTTCTGGCAGGCTTCAGCCTTAAAGTTTAGATTTTATATTTGCTTCTGGCTTAGAGTTTCCACTGGACTGTCATCTAAGCAACAGCTGCGAATACCTGCTGGGCTCTTATTAAGAACTCTGTAATTGGCGGCATTAAAGATGATGGATTCTGACAATAAAAAACTTGAAGGCCAAATGATCATCTTGCACCTGAAGTGAGAAATCACCTTTTTTGTTTGGCCTAGTTTTGGAGGCAGAAATTTTCCAGATGACTTCTGAGATGTTTTTCTTATTCATTGGGCCGGCAAACAGACGTGGGAGGCAAAGCGTAGATGGAAATGTACTCACCACAGAAGTGTTTAAGCTGGACATAACAGGGCTATGGACAGCCATGCACTTGTTGGATGGTTGTTTACAAGCTGACATCAGTAACAAGACTTCTTTGGGGTCTGTTGCAACTTTGACGTCAGACAGCCCTTTTGCCCAAGCTGACGAACCGACCAACCACAAGAACGAAAAGACCACAGTGACGATGAAGTCCTACAGAAACAAACAGAAAGATAAAACGGTGAGAGAAAACGTGAGTTCTAGAAGGACATCGATTAGTTTATATAACTATTTTGCTTGCCTCTTGGAAAAATTCTAAGATCCCATAGAATCAGAAGCAGGGAAGACATTTTGAAAAAACAAACAAAAGAAGCTTTGTGATATCATATCTATATTTCAATAAAATAAATCATAATAGCAATATTTATTGAACACTTACTATGTCCAAGGAATGACATATATTATTAGCTAAGGACTAATTGTTCCTCTAGCTGTTCCTACAGCATCCATGTAGGAAATGCTACACCATCCTATTTGCTGACAGCAAACGAACACAGGGAATGGGTGAACAACTTGGCTGAGACTCCACAGACAATCGGTGTTGGCTTCAGGACTCAAACCCAGGAAACCTGACCACTGAGTCCAAGCTCTTAACCACCCTGCCACCATGATTTCGAACATTTAGACAGATTTGGCAGTTGTTAAAGACTCCTGAATGGCAATGTTCTTCATCTGTTCATTTGTTCGCTTAGCAAATCTATGTGTTATTATCTGTTGTATACCTGGAGTTGTGTTAAGTGGGAAACAATAAAAGCCATAATGTTTTGAGTGCCACTATGGGTGAGGGGCTTTATATGAAATCATCCTGACAATAATCATGTTAGACAACATTTTTAATGACCATTTTAAAGATGAGGAAACTGAGGCCCAGAGTTACAAGGTAACACAGAGAAAGTGGCAGCGTCAGAATTCAAACCCAGGTCTGTCTGACTCTGAAAACCACCCGCTATGAGTGCAGGGAAGAGAAACTTCTTTATTCATGTCAAACAAAATGCCTATGATGTAAGGGTGGCTATTTAGGAGAACATCCCCAAACCTCTGATGATGGGGGGGCCACTTCTCACGTCCCCCCTCGTGACTCAGAGGCGGTGGCAGGTGGGAGTCACTGTCCAAGACTTAAACAGACCATGTAAGAACATAGTAGGATGATTTTTCAGATTGACTGTATTTATGTTTGACTGCTGGAAAAATGTTGCATGCTGACTACCCAAAATAATAAAAATACTGACCTGGAAAGGAAATGAGTAAATACGATCTTGCAGCAGAAATAGGCTGTTCTTTTATTCTAAACAATAACCCCCTCAAGTAGAAAACTGGCAAGGGGTTCCGGCCCCCCCAAGGGCAAGGCAAAACCGCCCTGCCCCAGGCAACCTGCCCCCCCGGGGGGAACGAAATAATTTTCAAGAAAAACCCAAGGGCCAAAAGGAAGGAACTCTTACGTTCTGAAGATGCTGGCGTGCCTGACGTTTGTTCTGTGTGGCCTTTGTGGAGAGAGTTCTGGAGTGTCCCACGACTAAGAGTGGCTGAATCTTCTGAAATATTGGCCTCATTCCGTCCGGCGGCTGTTGTGAATTATGTAACTCACCTATTTACCTTTGCCATGTTGGTTCTAGAAAATTTAGGGCCAATGTGTGACCCATTCATAGGAGTTTCATGGCATGGGTATTATAACTCTATTCCTTATTTTGTTTTATATACCCATTCTTCCTTTTCCTTCTCATTTTCAATTAATTCCATCTTGAGAAGTTTTAAGTATCCTTGCAAGCCATCTTAAATCCTTTCTGGAGTAAAGTAGAGGTATAAACAAACAAGCAAACAAATACACTCTGTACAGCTGCCTCAAAATTAGTAAGAACAAACATTTGGTAGGAAGAAACTCACATGTTTGGGTTCAAATGAGATATTGGAGAAGTGGTTATGAATAAATAAGTCATTAACTGTGTGAAATCACAACTTTTTGTTCATGTTCATTCAATCTTCACTCATTCATTCATTCATTCAAATAGTAATTTTGGAGTAATGTGGCAGGTATTGAGGGACCATACTAGCCGGCCTAATCAGAAGACTTGAAATTAAATTGAATATAGAATAGCTTTCTCATTCATCTTATTTGATGCCATGTTAATAGAGAGTTAAATGGCTTACGCTTGGGAAGTGACTTCCTTCTGATGGTACAGACAATATGGTTGTTTACAAATAGTACCTGATGTCTGCCTAACAGAGATAGTGCGGATATGGAAGACAAATCTGTAACATTTACTGCTAGGTTATCATGGTGCATGTATTAACCCTTTGAAGACACCTTCTGCTGGCTTTGCTTGTGCTACTTATTCTCAAAAAGTGGAGAGGCTGACATTCCAAAGGTGCCTCAGTGCTTCCAGAAAGCTCTCATGCTTGTGTTCAATGTGGTCCTCTGTAAAATCCCAAGAAGTGGTTGGAGAAGGCATTATTAGCTCCATATTACAGAAGAAACTAGAGCCAAGAGGGTTAAGTAATCTATTTGCCCATGGCTCATTGAATGGTTTGTAAATGTTCTCTGAGCTCTTGGTCTCATCCTGCACCTAGAGAACTTTGGCATGTGTCTGGATGCGTTCCTGCCATGGGTTTAAAGCATCGGTTCAGTGAGCCAAGAGACGGCTTCCTTAACAGAGGAAGCAGCCTGGCCTAATGTTGGCTGAGTGGTTTGCTTCTGTCTCGTTTGTTGGGAGTGTTTTTTTGCCCTCACTTCTCATAAGCTGCTGTTCGCAAACTCACTGTTTATTGAATGGCATTTAATATAATAAAGCTACTGGTCCTGAATTACTCCGGGGCATACAAGAGGGAGTCGTTTTTGGTGATAGAAAACAATATTTCAGAACCAGGTAAACCTATCTCCATCTGTTTTTGGTAGTGGCACACTGCAGCTCCATTGGATATCGGTAAATATAACCAAGTATTCCATTGATATCTATTAGCAAATATCGCCAGTATTTCAATCCAATTTATTCCCTGATTTCCCTGCTTGGTGGCTTTGTTATATTTTCTGTTCCTGACACTTACACTGAGAGGCTGTCCCAGAAACTGGATTGTCTAAAGCACCACCCTCATTCTCAGTGTAAGTGGATTCACTTTGTTAATTTCAGCTTCCAGGAACCCCCGGAATGACGCTGTGAATCCGGAAACAAGCTGTGAGCTGCAGCTCCACTGAGGGCAGCACTTTGGACGTGGCTTGGAGGAGAAGAGAGCTAGCGCTGGCTGGGTGGAACGACTGTCCTGTCCACTCATGCGGTTGTTTCATTATTTCACTTGGAGCACTAACAATAATGACATCTGACTTGCAGAGAGTGCCTACGGTTTTCAACGTGCTATGGCAGAAGACGGTTTGATCTTCACAACAGCTGCCTGAGGGTGAATATAATGATATCCATTTCATAGATGAGGCAGCTACACATGGGGAAGGGACGTGACGTGTCCCAGCTGTTACAAGTAACTGAGATTTGAATTCAGGACATTTGGGCTCCCTGTGTAGTGACTAGTTTTTCATTATGCCCAGGGTTCCTGAAACTTGGGAAGTAGGCTTCCTACTATGCTGGGAACACAGACAGCAGTAAGTAACACTGAGCTACATAGGAAGATTTTCCTTTACAGTTTTCTTTCAATCTGAATAGCAAAGGAGAAAGTCTGAGTTGGGTGCTAATTTGTCTCCAACACCTATTTAACAAGTGCTGATCTCTTCCTTTTTTTAAATCAAAGAAAACCGGCCCCAGGCTCAGAGCCTTGAGGCAATGTGGCTGGCCTACAGCACTGTTGATTTTCCATTGATTCATTTATATATTTACCTTTTATGTCGAATAATACTGGATTTCTATAACCAGTAATGGTACAAGGTTTTATTCAAAAATACATTTATTTAAGTTTAAGGAAATGATTCAATTTAAAGAAAAAGAGTGAATAATTTGAGGCCCAGGAGGGAATGAGAGTGAAGTTTGGAAAGGACTGAATGAGACCCTAACCCAGTGCCGTCTAATAGGAATCTCATGCAAGCCATGGATGTGAGCAACATATTTAATTATATGTTTTATGAGAAACACACTTTTTAAAAAAAGCAACAAGAAACTGGTTTCATATATTAATATGTATATCAATATAATAGACCCCAATATAGCAAAAATATTATCATATTATATAATCAATCTAAAATTAATAAGATGTTTTACTTTTTTGGCACTAAGTCTGAAACCTGATGTGTGTTTTATACCTACAGTATCATCTTAATTCCTATTAGCCACATTTCAATGCTCAATAGCCACATGTTGCTTGAACTATCTTATTGGGCAGCATCATTCTAATTCACAGTTAAGAAATGGAAGCACATTTATATCCTCTGTCAAGTGAGTGATGTCCCTTCTCCCATTTGGGGTCATTGATGTCACACTTTCTTTTGGCACTTTGGTCTGAGATGGTCCCGGTAGCCATCCACCGCTTCGCTTTGGCAAGGCCAGCATGCCTCACGCATCCCTCTTGGCCCGTAGGGTCCCATCGGTGGGTTGATGTGGTCACCCGGTTTATTGCCGTAGTGGCCTGGTGCAGATCTAAAGGCAGATCAGTGTGACCCACGGGAGGCCTGGGACCTCGGGGTCGGCAGCCCAGTGAGGAGGATGACAGAGGGGAGGAGCAGGAGCAAGAAGCGAGAAGAGGAGGAAAGGGGAGAGGAAAGTGGAGAATAAGGAAGAGAAGGAGGACGGGGAAGACAAAGTGGAGGGGAGGAGTAAGGGAAGGAGAAGGGGGGTGAAAGGAGGAAGAGAGTGGGAAGAGGAGCCGGGGAGGGAACAGGGGATGAAGAAAGGAGGGGGAGGAAGTAGAGGAGGAAGAGGAGGTGGAGGCACTGTCTGAGAGGAGAGAGGGAGAAGAAGGGTAGAAGGAGGAAGGATAGACATGGAAGCCTCAGAGGTCCCAGCACTATCAAGCACATACATGTGTGTGCTGAGTGCTTTGCACCATTTTCTTTTACTTTGATAACAGCTCCATGATGTAGTTATTAATATTATTCCTATTTTATGAGTCAGGAAACAAACCCAGTTTCTGTGGGTAAATAAAGTGAGTTTAGACCAGGTTTGGAGTTTTTGGTCCCAGGAGACACGTCCCTCCTCTTCCTGACATTGAGCGTGCTTGGA